GAAGAGAGTTTAAGAAAGGTCAACTGTGCCAATTAGTGCTACTTCTTAGCATGGGTCCCGATTTATAATTCAATATTTATATTTGTGGTTAATTGTTTAGTGCCTCTACCCCCTTTGCCTTCAGGAGGGCAAGCGTCCTGTCTCTTATATTTAGCTTTGGGACATGGCCTGAACACAGCATGCATAGAACCCAATCAACATAAATTGGGGAGAGATGCCCACCTCCTCTTGAGAGAATGAGCTTAATGCTTCCCTGAATGTTATTTGAGATTCAACTTTGTTTTTCAACTTTGACCTTTTGCTAAGGAGACACAGAAAGCAGATAGGCCATTCTCTGATGATGACAACATATGTTTCTCATACCTATATCATTACTTTAACTTGGCTATAGAATAATTATCTGTTAATTTGTCTCTATATCAACATGAATAATGTCAGGGTCCTACTCATATTTGTACCCTAAGAACTTAGAGCAGACTTTTAAAAGTAGATGATGAACACATAAGCACACAAATAAGTAGGTGACAGACAGGGGATATGTGTGGTGTTTCTCTGACACACAGTGTATTTATTCACATATTCAGCACAACTCTTAGTATGTGAGTCTATTCATGTTAAATGTTTCCTTCTGTGGGAGGAAGGGGCACAAAGATCATGCCTTCTATTATTTCCCCTTGAGGAGCAAGGTCATTGCATTGGTTAGGACACCATGCTGGCTACACTTTCGTCCTAAGGAATGACTAGCTTATGGCTGTTGGGATAGATTCCAACTAGCTGGACCAGTCCATGAGGTGAATAGGCCCAGCGGATGGTCATATTAGGCTTAGTTATGAAATCACTGAGCCAAGTGTGACTTTGGAGGAAGATAAAAGCATATTAGTTTCAGAGGATTTGTTTCCAAGAAGAATAATAAAGGCTTCGTGTTTAGGTGAGTGAACTAAGTTAGTAATAGATATCAGATGATACCTAATATTTCCTTGTTTAGATATATTTTGTGTATCTTTCTGGTTGGTAGCACAGAGGGGAGATCCTCCCCAACAGCACCCTGAGTATGGTCATTACTTACAATTGTCTTTGTTCCTGTTGAAATGAGGTGGAGTCCTTTCTCTGGAAGACCCATGGGGGTGCTGTATGGGGGTCACTATGGGAAGCCAGAATTTTAACCAACTGTTATTGCAGCCTTGGATCTCACTATTTCTTATAGTGACCCTTATAAGGGAACAGCAAATGTTGAATACTGGTTTTAGCAGAAGACCTTTCAGTCTCCCTTCATATTAGCTTATTTGTAATATGATGTTATAATGAATAGCTTTTTGGAAGCCACTGCAGTCACTGAGCCTCAGTTTCTACAGCTACAAACTGGGGACAGTAGCATGACCCCATTTAACAGTACCCAGTGTGAGCACCAACAGAAGGAAGAAATGTATTGGAATTCCTGGGACTTCCTATCCTACATTTCCTAGGGATCGTCTTCCAGCTTTTTCTGTCTGCCTTTGTTGGTATTCAAGATTGCAGCCCATTCTTACTTACCTCTCTGTAGGGCTCCATTATCCCACACCTTGCAACAAAATTTTGATGGATCAGCTTGAACTTGAAGTGATGGTGGCTGAGGCACAACCAGGCCTTCTTGTGGTGTTAACAATCCAGGAAGATGGTGTAGTCACCAAAGAGTCACAGGGAAAGCATATACAGGGCACCCAGTAATCTCACCTCTACCAACTGCACTCCACTACTCTGTATAAAGTGTTCTGCTAAGGACTAGGGACATAGTGGTGATTAATATCCTGACTGTGCCCTTGAGAAGCTCTCAATCTTTAAAGGGAACTTGGTGGGAAGACCAACAGTGGCGCTGGGGGGTAGAAAGGACAAGAGAAGAATTGTGTGCAGAGAATAGAAGTTGTCCACAGGAGGAAGTGATTTTATGTGTCCAGGGAGGTTGGTTAAGAAAGACTATTTTTTCTGTCTGGCTTATTTCCCTTAGCATGATAATCTCAAGATCCATCCATGTTGCCACAAATGGCAGTATTTCATCTTTCCTTATGGCTGAGTAATATTTCATTACATATATGTACTACTTCTTCTTTATCCAATCATCTATTGAAGGATATTTTGGTTGTTTCCATGTCTTGGCCACCATGAATAATGTTGCTATGAACATAGGGGTACATATATCTTCATAGATAAATGTTTTCAGATTTTTTGGATAGGTACCCAGAAGAGTCATATGCTGGGTCATATGGTAATTCAGTTCTTAATTTTTTGAGGAACCTTCATACTGTTTTCCATAGTGGCTGTGCCAATTTGCATTCCCACCAGTAGCATATGAGGGTTCATTTTTCTTCACAACCTCTCCAACACTTGTTATTACTTATCTTGGTTTTTTTTGTGTTTTTTTTCTAAAGATTTTTATTGGGGAATTGGGGGGATGGGAACAGTGCTGGGGAATTGGGGGAAGGGGAACAGACAAGTTGCTGTCATTTTTGTTCTTCAATCTAGTTGTGGAGGATGTTGCTTCACTGGCCCAAGTTGGCACCGTCATTGCGCTCTTCCTGGGTGAGGCAGATCAGTCGCTGGCTTCTGGACAGCCGCTCACTGCGGCTGCTGGCCGCTCACGCTGGCTGCTGGCTACACACGGTAGCCCATGGCAACCCACTGCCACAGGGGCTGCAGCCTACGCCGTCGCCTGCGACTCATGGCAACCCAGCTCCAGGTTGAGCTGTTGTTCAGCATCTTAGCTGTGGAGGGCAGTGTCACTGGCCCTCATATGTGGGATCCGAACCGGGGCCCTCTGGCATCCCAAGCGAGTTCTTAACCATCGCGCCACTCGGCCGGCCCTTACTTATCTTGTTGATAATAGCTATTCTAAAAAATGCGAGGTGATATTTCATTGTGGTTTTGATTTGCATTTTCCTAATAGCTGATGAGACAGAAAAAAATCGAGAACCCTATGACTTCACTCATATCTGGGATATAAAACTGAAAGCAACAAACAAGACCAAAAAAAACCCCCAAAAACTCATAGACACAAGCAATAGTTTAGTGGTTACCAGAGGGTAACAAGGGTGTGGGTGTTGGAAGAGGGTAAAGGGTGTTAAATATATACTGAAGGAAGGAGAACTGATTCTGGGTGGTGAACACAGTGCAATACATAGAAGATGTATTATAGAAATGTACACTTGAAACCTATCTAGTTTTATAAACCAATGTCACCCCAATAAATTTAATTAACAAAAGACAGGAAGACTTTAACAGAGGGGTTTCTGTCTGACCTGAGTTTTTTGAAGAGTGAGTAGGGGCCTTCTAGGCATCACACAGACATTTCTTGGCAGAGGAAACTACATGGGTAAAGAGCTGTAGACCTAGCTTATTTGAAGGAATTCAAGCATTTTTTAAGCAGGGAGCCATGGAGTGAATGAAGGGCAGATTAGAGATTTCAGGCCAGTTGCTTTACTTGAGTTTCTGTAACCTTTGTGCTTACTGATAAAACTGAGTGAGTTGTTTATTGATTTCCCACAGAACATGAACTCAAGGGTGGTCAAACTGGGAGTGTCCATGATGCTTTGCCAATATCAAGGTGGAGAGGGCACCTGTAGTTGGAGCACAGATGGCTCTTCTACTGGCTGCAGCTCAAGCCCCACCCCCTTTTCCAGCACATAAACATCCAGTCTCACTGAATATCCACCGGGAAGGGAGTTTTGCGCACACACGCTGGCAAAGACTAGCAACATTGCTGAAAGGGAGCCTAAGATTAGAGGATCTTGGAGGAAAGTGACCATGAACCTCATCCCAAGCTTTTCCACAGAGACCTGGGTTCTACTGGCTACCAGCCTGGTGCTGCTCTATCTGTGAGTAACTGTCCAAATGTTTGTCCTGTGTAACCTTGGACTTGGGGAGCTAATCAGGCCCCCCTTTCCCTTATCTGTTTTGAATATCAAACATTTAATGAAGGGGTAGCTTCTCACGCACTGGGCACACAAACAAAAAGGTTATTATTGATATTACTCTAACCTGTTGAAAGAGGATCACTCCATGAACCCCCAACTCCTAATTTCTGTAACACGGAGGGTTTAGTGACATAATTTTCTCCTGGGGATGATCTTCTGATTGACTGCCAGTTTGGATGGATCTAGACTAACCAACTAGAATTCAGCAGATGCAGATATAAACAACTGGTTTCTGTGCAGTGGGGTCCTCACTCTCTTCCCAGCTCTGGGGATCCTGGAGGCAGAAGGGAGTGGCCTGGGGTTTTGTTTTATTACATTCACTTTGCAAGTTCTATGTCTACTGCAAGAGATGTGTAGAAGGATTGGTCTCTGTGTGACTAGGTTGGTTCCTGCTCCCTCCCTCCCACTGCCTGGCATCATTTATGCAAAGCACCAGGGTGCACCCCAGATTTCATAGGTGTTAGAGACTGTCCCACCCTTCTCTCATACTTGGATCTTCCCTCTTTTCTGTGTCTCTCCCCTGGTACCACCTCCTAGGACTCATTGCCCCACTATGAAATAGGCAGAACTATTTATCCTTAAATGAGAAATCTTTACAGCAGAAGAAACTTTGCAGAAATCTTGAAATCATATTCTTTTCTTTCACCTTTTCCTTCTAGTCTTGGGGGTGGGGGTGGGGGGAGGGTCAGCATCAGTATAGCAATTAATGTTTTCTCAATATAAAATCTGCTAACAACCTGTAAAGCCACAAACCTATGAACCAATTGGGGTTTAAATACTTTTTTTCTTTTGAAGTTACCGTACAGGAGATGAATCAATCACCTAGTAGAGAAATTCCTTTCAAGAGTGGGATTCTTGGCATCATGAAGCAGGTTAGGAAAGGAGTTATTTTTGATGTATGGGTAGAGAAAGCCCTCTCATTTCCTATTTTCACTTTCATGAAAAGTAGGAAATCATGATGAAAATATAAAGTTTGTTATATTCTTTAAACAAAATGTTATGACTACAGGGTATTGTGACAACATATTTTGTGTCTAATCACATTTTAAAATTAATTGATCATGTTTAATTTTATTCTATTTTGTGCTAAATTTTCTTTTACTGAGATAAAGCTATTACCAGCATTTTCTTTCATAAAGATAAAAAGTGCTGCTGATTCAAGATCTGTGGCTACAAAGGTGTATAAATGACCTTACCCTTCTAGAGTAATGTCAGGAAATGGGTCTAGTGTACAAAATAATGTAAGGAAATAAGGACATAGATTGTATATATGCTTTTAAATATACCTGCCTATCCAATTATTTTAATCTCAACAGTGCAGGTGATCAAGCAAGATCATGAGCCAGTGATGGTAAAAGACACATCCAGGTAGCAGTCTGGATAGAATGGAAGGATATTTCTCCCAGATGCTCCTGGTCCCGGTCCCATAGAAGGTCACTCATTCAAGCAGAGTAGGCATCTAATCTGCTTGAAGCCTGGGGACAGAGACATCATCTAAATCACAATGTGTGGTCTGTCTGGCAGTGGGGCTGTCACTGCTGTTACCACTGGATAAACAACACTGTAGCCTTAGATAACACTGGTACAGCCAAGAGTCAGAAGCTGCAGAGTAGACAGTATCCTCTCACGCCCACACAATGTAAATACACTAGAAATGATTGGTTTTATTGTTAGCCCCTTCATTTGCACCAAAAGCATATTACTCTACCAAAAAGAGGGAAGCTGGAAAGAAACTGAAGAGGTCCCCCAGCCCACCCTCTGCCTTGATATGGAGTCATGTGAGTGTAGTCATTAGATCTTCCCTTGGGATCAATGTTGCTGACACATTCATTCAATTGCTTAACCTCACTTGAGAGTTTATGTAACATGTTGAAAGTTTAGAAACAGAAACTGGTTTAATTGATCTGCCATAGTTGCATGGCAAAGATAGGAATGGGGATGGCATGAACCAAGAGTACCCCATTTTTGACAGTCAGTGCTCACACTTCTATCAACTTTCTGGAGGAAGGATCCAAACACCCAGCTGTGCTTGGCCATAGTGCCTCCATTGTGCCCTTCAGCACAAGTTGTTTCATGCAACTTTGGGGGTTTATTTCATCACATACTATAAGATTATCTAAATTTGTACAGAATTTTAGGAACCTATACTTCCTTAAAAGATAATCACAAAAAGAAGAAGAGAAAAGATCTTAATTCAGCTCTCTGGAACATTGTATGGTTACTCATTTTATGTTGTGTAACGCATCTTTTGCTATCAACAGGAAGGTCCCAAAGTTTGCAAGGCCACCCACCTTTCAGCTGAAAGTGCTTGTAGGGTATGTGGGATCATTATGCAGAGCATGCTTTTCAGCCATAATTCCCTAATTTGCCTCTGTGGGGTTGGCCTTGTAGGTCTAGCAGCTTCATGGTTAAAATAGTTGCCAGTCGCCTCTTTCCTCAGCCTGTCCTCCTCCTCCACTCTGCCATCTCTCAGTAACACCACAGGGGGAAGGCTGTAAGGATCCAGAGCCCCCAGCTGTGGGACTCCACATATGACACATGAAGATTAATTTCAAGCAGGCTCACCATAGGAAGCACCAGACTTAATGGGATTTTGAGATATAATAGCTGACACACAGAGCCAGTAAACTAACTGCATGGTGACTGGCCATCTTGACAAACTGCGTGAGCCTGGCTCTGCATAGCAGGTGACCATCACAGGCTGGAGGACCAGATGCCACCAGGGGAAGAATGGTCTGGAAATGGATTATTAGTCATCGGGTTTTTTATACAGTTTCATTCAGGCACATATATGGGACAATCATTCTTCTCTAGAGCACAAGTCACCAAATGTCCTGAGAACATGGACTTGGGTGTAGCTGATAGGCACTCACATTTCTACGAGGACAATGGAAGCTTTGGACACAGCTTTCATTCCATAGAAATCAGTACACCGTGGCTATTCCAAGGCCTCTTTGTGATGATATATTTAAGAAGACCCAGATCCTAAAACAAGGTCAGGGGCTACAGGAAAGGACAAGCGTAGAAGTCACAGAGCAAACTGTAAGAAAAAATGCCTCAGTGGGCTCTCAGTAACTCTCAGTTATTGATGGATGCAGTTAAGCAAAATCTCATCACTGAGGGTAGCCAGTTAGTTCAGTTGGTTAGAGTGCAGTGCTCATAACACCAAGGTTGCCCATTGGATCCACATTTGGCCCCTGAGCTGTGCCCTCCACAACTATATTGAAACAACTACTTGACTTGGAGCTGATGGGTCCTGGAAAAACACACTGTTCTCCAATAAATATATTAATAAAAAATCTCATCATCAGAGCAGAAAAACTTTTTTCCTTTTTCTACCTAGAATTAGAATTTCCAAAATCATGGAAGTGTCAACTTGTTAAATAAGCATGAGTGAATTTTCTGGAAGAATTCCAGCCTGAACCTCTCAGGAGCCCTTCAGTCGGGAAGCATTTCTCAAGTATTCACTCTAGGACTGGGGTTCTGAAGTCTTCAGCTCCTTTTAGCTAATCATCATTACTTTTTGTGGGTCTCCCAGTGGAGATGAGAAAGGAGATGATGAGTGAATGTAAATACTGCTGTTGGAATTGCTGATATTACTTATCACCTACATGTTACCTCCCTAGCTTGACTGCTCCAGTTCCAAGTCAGTGACTCGCCAGCCCCAGCACCTATTCCATAATCCCTGGCTGTTTCTTTTACTTTATAGATATGGGACCTCTACACATAGACTTTTTAAAAAGCTGGGAATCCCTGGGCCAACACCTCTGCCTTTTATTGGAACTTTTCTGGGCTACCGTAAGGTGAGTTGTATTTGGGCTCCCTCTTTTGCTTCTCATGGTTACAGATCCCAGCTGAGCTCCATAGTCAAATGCCCGCCTCAGGAGAGAGTTCTGATGTGTCACACTTTCCAGAAAGGGTGTCATATGACCCACCCAGCAGCAGGTCAGGTTTACCCCAGGGCTCTGTTGTCAGCTGTTAGGAGCCTCAGGTTTTGCCCCAGTCAGACAGCAGAGCTCTCTGGCTGGTTCAGCACCGGAATTGCTGTTCCAACTTGTGAGCATCATAAGAATTTTTTT